TATAGGGGTCTGTTTGGATGGAGGGCTTGGATGGTTTTAGAGGAAAATGCTTTAGAAGGCTTTAGTCTATATCTGAATGAATAATGGGTGATTGAAACATTATATGATCACCCATGCTGTTATTCTTTCAATATAACTTCTCAAAGAAGAACATATGAAGATATATTATACAATTGGGCTCCAGAGCTCTTCCTCCAAAACCTTACATCCAAAAAAACCTACGGGTCTCTTTGGATGGAGGGTTTCAGGAGGGGAAAGTTTTGGAGGGTTTAGTCCATTTTCTTATATACATATATTTTTTAATTTTTTTAAAAGGGAAAATCGCACTTTTGGTCCCTCAATTAGTCACCATATTGAAATGTGAGACCCGTGTTTCTGAGATTGTAAATGTCACCCCCGAAGTGACAAATGTGTTGTAAATGTCATCCCCGCCATTTATAATACATCTCCAATTCTAGACTACCAATAAATTCACTGGAGATGACATTTAAAACACATCTGTCAATTCAGGGGTGACATTTACAATCTCAGAAACACGGGTGTGAAATTTCAATACGGTGACTAATTGAGGGACCAAAAGTGCGATTTTCCCCTTTCAAAATGAAAGATTAACACAATATTTGATTGTATAACATTTCATTCCAGCTTTTATTTGTTGTTAGAAACAATCTATATATCAAGATATGCATTAACCTCCCCACACCCATAGCCCACCCTCCAAAAAAACTTTCATCCAAACAGACACTAAGAGAATGCACCTGGCCTAGAAGAAAAACTACAAGGAAAAAAGGGAGCGATAATATTTATTGTGGAGGTTCTAATTCTGTTCTGACTACATGCAGGAGAAACAACTATGTGGGGAGATCAGACTTTTGCCTACACATTATCTAAACATCATGGAAACCCTTTCCACAGGAGTCTTGAGTGGAAATATCACAAAGAAGGGTGATGCACATCGTCTCTTTAATGTTGATCCAAGTAAAGTGGACAGAGTTTATGATATGCTCATCAAGAAAGGATTGGCTCAAGTATGATGGGATCATTTTGATTTAACGGAACATTATCAGGGGGATCTTTATTTCGCTTGCAATGAACCCAAAAATGAGGACATGGTTGAGTGGGGGTGGATTCGGTGGAGCTACTTGTTATAGAGCAATTACAGAATAAATTTTACATTCAAAGAATGGAATGCTTGATATCAAGTGTTGTTTAGTTATCTGAGATTTATGGTGTATGTTTTTTTAGCAGAACAGTAACGTATTCTGAGACAAGTAGACAACATGACATGTAAGAATAGTGTTGAAACCCTAACCTTAGTTGCATTGGGTCTAGTCCACTTTTTGTAGTTTGTCGGTTTGTCCTAGTTGTAGACTTGTAGTTATAAATACAATTGTTGTAATTCTTTAATGCATGAATAACCAAAAGAGTTACACCTCCGTCCCAAAAAGAGATGCAAATTTGACTTTTCTTAGTCAAACAGTCTCGTTTTGTTCACTTAATTAGGATGTCAATTTTTAATTATATTCTAATTTGAAGTTTACAACTTTGAAGAGATTTTAATGTAGTTTTTGAATACGTTAAGTTTTATTATTAAAAATTGAATTAATTATCCATACAGAGGGTTGACTTTTATTATTGGTTGACTAAAATTTGTTGACTTTGCAAAACAAATTGGGACGGAAGGAGTATATTTCACATGGCAGAGTCAAATTGGCACACTAGTGTCATACTTGTCCCGACTAGGGTTGTATACGAACCGAATCGAGTCGAATAGTAGGATTTTGTATTTGTATTTGTTTAATTTTTTCGAATACGAATTCGAATTCAAATATGAAACGAATATTAATTCCGATTTGTATTTGTATTTGTTTAACAATACGAATAGTTAACGAATCTTATACGAATATCGAATAGATTTGAGCATAAGTTAAATATTAGTGAAATATCACTTAAAATTAAATTTTCTTATATTTTTTTATGTTGTAAAGTATGCTATGAATTAGTAATTGCGGTGTGAAAGTGGTCGCGACACTAGAGTGTCTTTGAGATATATCAACTTACCTTCGTGCTCAATTTACAACTTGGAAACTTGCGCTCGAGGTACAAAAAACTGCATCTCTTCTCTTCATATATACTGTTTCATACTTTCATGCTACTCCATTTTGGTCTCCACCCATACTAGAAGGCCATCAGACGGTGAGTCAGTCACCCTCAGTCCCTATTAGACATTTTTGTAGTATTTCCTCACACACATGTCGTTACCGGATCAGTTTGCCTGAAGTTCCAAACCCTAGATTCCGTCCTTGATGAACATGCCTAGTTTCTTTACTAAATTAGCCAATATATCACTGTCTCCGATTGTACAGTGATATATTGGCTAATTTAGAAGAAAGGCCATCAGATGGTGAGTCAGGGTCACCCTCTGTCTCTATTTAGACATTTTTGTAATATTCCGTCACACACGTGTCGTTACTGGACCAGTTTGCCTGAAGTTCCAAACCCTAGATTCCGTCCTTGATGAACATGCCTAGTTTCTTTACTAAATTAGCCAATAAATCACTGTCTCCGAAAATTCAATACATCAAATATTTTTCAAGGTGTGCGTAGAGCATGTGCTTCAAACACTTTTAGTCAGTGGGTTCTTGATTTAGGTGCTTCGAATCATGTTTTTGGTAATTCTCATCTTTTATCAAATTTATCTAAACTTTACATTCACCGCATACTACCCTCGCTAAAGGGCATCAACTAGCTATGAAAGTAGGTCAGATCTTCCAAAATCATCTTGACCCTTAAAAAATATCTTGCATGTTGAAAACAGTCCATTTAATCTTGCACGTAGTATATATTAGCAAGATTACTCACTCTATCAAATGTTCTAAAATCTTTTCATTTGATTTTGTAGTTCTGTGAGATCATTGTCAGGGAAAGTGATTGGCATTGAGCATGAATCTCATGGCCTCTATTATCTTCATCTTCCTGATTCAGTTGCTTGTGTGTCAGCGGAGTAAGCGGTTACTCTACATAATCGCTTAGGTCATCCAAACCTCGCATAGCTCCAAAGAATGGTTCCAGATTTATATCATCTTCCCTCCTTAGATTGAGTCATGTCTTGTTGAAAAACAACCCTGTCAGTCAAACCCACTGATAGAGTATATGGGCTTAGACCCCATGACCCACATACTCAGAAGGTCAAAGATACCAGATGGACATCCACGTGGCGCCCTTCGGCCTAGTGGGTCCCGTAACGGTCATAGTCGAAATTATCCAGAACACTGTCTGGAGGCCAAACGGGTCCCGCATCGGCCATGGACCGCATCAACCAGGGACCGCGTCGGCCAGAAGTCCACCGCATCGGCCAGGAAACATCCTGGCAGAATGTATTTTCCTATCTTTTTACTAAGTATTGTACTCAGCTCATTAGTGGTCTTATTTCGCCCAAAGAAGACATGATTATTGTAATGGGCCTCCTAAGCCCAAGGCTAGGAGCCCAAATCCACATTTACTCCTATAAATAGCCCCCAAGGGGTAGTTATAGGTGGTTGAGAAATATTAATCGATCACTTTCTCTCTAGAATTAAATACTCTATCACCCACGCAAAGTCAATACCAATTTGAATTTTTTCACAAATTCCAATTCTTTTGTGCCGGAATTTAGACATAGTTTCCTCATTCGATCTATCAAAATTTTACGCAATGATAATGCTCAAGAATTCTTTTCAAACACATTTACTCAATTAATGGCTACTCGAGAAATTCTCCACCAGTCCTCTTCATTCACACACCTCCACAAAACGATGTTAGTGAATGTAAGAATCACCATTTGGTTGATACGCACTTTGTTATTACATCTATACACCATCTCAGTATTGGGTCGATGCTATTCTCACAATCTCACTGTGTATCACTTAACTAGTTAACTAGCAAAATGACTTCATCGATAATTAATAATGATGTTGCTTATTCTGTTTTTGTTCCCTACACATGAGATATATCCTTTGTCACCTCGTATTTTTTTATGTGTTTATTTTGTTCATGATACATTTCCATCATTTTCAATGGAGCCAGACTCACTATTTTTTTTTTTGGCTTGGGAATATGATGGAATAAAGCAAAATGGTTCACTACACTGTATGCGCTTCTTTGTTATGAAGTACGGAGTAATAGTTAGTCTATGCAATTTTCGACGCGATTTTCACTATGGGTCATTCAGAAACAGTCTCTTTGTGATTTACTACAGGGATAAGACTGTGTACATCCGACCCCCTTACTCCATCGTAGGTGGGATCCTTAGCGGCACTGGAGTAATGATGATGATGATTTTGTTCATGATACAGCACCACGGAAACAAAAAATGTTTGCTAAAAGAATGAAGATTGAGATTTAGATTTTAGACATTAAAAAATGTGCATATAACTTTTCGGTGAGGTCATTATAGTTGATTATACGTCATTTATAAACTGATAGTTTGAAACCGGCATATGTTTTCAGGTCATTTGTTAGTAGGCTAGTAGCCGTCCATACCATCTCGTATTGAAATGATAGTGGTTTATCAGACTTATCCATACCATTCGAAAAAAAGTAATCACGTTCTTTTTCCGCATGGATTTAAAGAACATTAGTAAATGATGATATAATTTTGAACGATTTATCATTACAATTAGTTTTTTATAGCACTGAACAATTTGGAAACTACATTATATGCAAAACTAAGATATACCCTTAGTACTTGGATCAACAAGTAATGAAAAGATACTACAAATGCATCCGAACTTCTGAAGTGCCCAGGTGATGACGTACACCACAAATACATTAACTGGTTAAGTCGTTCACAAATATTGAGAGTATGGGTCCCATAATATATTTCCATAGTGTGTGATGTTCCCTTACTGTTAAGCATTTGTACGTGGGTGCATAGTTCTCATGGCCCATATCTTATTTTCTTTGTATTATTACATTTACTCATTGCACTATATATGTAACATGCATGCATGGAAAGAAGTACTTACGAAGCATTCTTCTCTACATGAAGTTTTATGCTCTCAATAATATCTCTTACTTCTATCATTCATTTCCTTAAATTTAAAATGGTATCAGAGCCGAAACCTGGAAGCCAAAATCTTAGCAAATCATAGAAATCCCAAATCTTTATCTTCTGTTCTCCTTGAGTGGAGAGTAATCACGCCAGCATGAAAGAAATATTATCACACACTTGCACTTGGATAATTGATTCCGGGGCAAGTGAACATATCACCTGTGATAATAAGAATTTGTTCAACATTTCGGTTCAACCTTTTGAACCGTCGATCAAGATTCCAAATGGCGAACTCGTTCCAGTTTCTGCGATTGGCAGTCTATGCCTACCTAATGGAATCTGTCTGCAACGTGTGTTATATGTTCCACAATTTCAATGCAACCTGCTCTCAGTCAGTCGCCTCACTAGCGATCTTAATTGTACATTCATTTTTTCCTCCAGCTTATGCATTTTGCGGGACACGTCTACTGGAAAGTTGATTGGTGTGGGAAAGCTCCACAATGGTCTCTATTATTTAGAGTCATCAAGAGGTGAAATGGTGGCAATGTCCGTTGGAACGCGTTCAGATTTATGGCACCAACGTTTAGGACATGCTTCAGATGGAAAACTACAATACATCACATCTCTCAAAGATTTTCGACGGAACAGTACTTTTTGTGATCCATGTCTGAGAGCTAAACAAACACGGCTGCCTTTTCCTGAAAGTACTAGTAAGACCTCTCGTTGCTTTAAATTAATAAATTGTGATATATGGGGATGATATAGATGTGATTCTACTTCAGGAGCACGATATTTTTTGTCTATTGTCGATGACTACACTAGAGGTGTTTGGGTATACCTTATGAAAAATAAATCTGAGGTTTGTCAAAATTTGATTCAATTTTGCAATATGGTAGAGAATCAATTTAGACAGCGAGTTAAGCCCATACGGTTTGATAATGGAGTAGAATTTCAGACCAATATTTTATTTAAATATTATGAGCAATGCGGAATTATTTTGGAAACATCATGCACGGATACTCCACAACAAAATGGGGTTGTGGAACGAAAACACAGACATATCTTAGAAGTTGCCCGGGCCCTTCGTTTTCAGTCGGGATTGCCTATTGATTTTTGGGGTGAGTGAATCTTCACCGCCGTTTACATCATTAATCGGCTACCATCACCCTCTATCTTAAACAAAAGCCCTTATGAAATGTTGTTTGGGAAGGAACCTATCTATGATCATTTACGCGTTTTTGGGTGTTTGGTGTATGCCCATAACAATAAACGCAAAGATAAATTTAGTGAAAGGGGGAGCCCTTGTATATTCCTTGGATACCCTCATGGTCAGAAAGCTTACAGAGTATTTGATTTGCAAAAACAGAACATATACACTTCTCGAGATGTCACGTTTATTGAGGGTGAATTTCCAAGGTTGATCAGGAAGGACTTGATTTTGGGATGATTATTGACCGGGTGTACCAACAAGTCGTGGCTCCCACCAAAATGCCATCATCTGATGAGCACCATACCAGAACCACACAAAAGTCTTGGAATTCATCTTCAGCAAGCATAGAGCCTACCAAGGGCCTGGATGTCACCTTCGGTCACCAACCTGCCGATCTGTAACACCGTCCCCAAAAAGTATTTACTTTTAAGTGAATAATGTATTGAACTTATGGAATGGTTAACGAGTATTCGAAGTTGTGAATTTTTATTAATGTTTTTGCGTGAATAGTAAATTCGCACGTGGGGCCCGCACCGGGAGCGGGGGCCGCCCGATATTCCCGAGACCGTATATTTTATTCATCTTGGTCAATATAATATTTATATAGTGGTGGATAATTTATTTGGTCCAAATAAATGATATAGAGTTGACCGGTTGATCAAAAAGGCCAAAATACCAGTACTGGTAATTTAACGGATAAAAGCCCGAAATGAATTTCGAAGACTTATAAATTAAAGTTGGGAAATTTATATTCATTATAAGGGTCATAATGATTAAGAAACACATAATATATTTTATTTGACCCGACAAAGTAAAATATATTTAAAGCAGTCCGAAAAATACAACTTTCGGGACCGATTGTGCACTTCTGGACAAAAAGGGTTGACCTCCCACTTGGGTGGGGGCCAACCCACGAATTTAACCTCATTTTTCAACACATTGGTCGGCTGAATTGAGAGGGAGGCATGGGTGAGGGATTGTGAATTGATAGAAAAGGGATCAAACAAAATGGGGTGGATCCCATCCACTCTTATTTGATCAATGAGACAAAAAGGGTTACCTCCACCCTTCTCCTACCTCATTCTCGGCCAACCCACCCAAGGAAAGACCAGAAAAAAACCATCTCCCTCCCTCCCCATTGTTGAAGGAAGCTCCAACAAGGAGGAAGCTCTAGGAAAAAGTTTAAGTTCCAAAAGTGTACAAAACTTGAGGAAAGGCTAGGTAATGACTTCATTTACCTTTCTCTTCTCTTTTTCTTGAATACATTATTATTTGAGAAATTATGAAGAACCCTAGGATTGTTCTCCATGTGATAAATGTGGGACAAGGGGTTGGAAGGTGGTTCTATGTCCAAAGGCGGACTTAGAAGCCAAACCGACAAGTTTACCGGAAAATAACCTTTTAGAGGTTATTTGTATTGATTAAGGTTTTATTATGTTAAAACCTTGTTAGGAACTTGATTAAAGTATTTTTGAGCTTCGCCGGAGTTTCGCCGGAGTTGGTCAAAGTTCGCCGGAGTTGGTCAAAATTCACCGGGATTAGTCAAAGTTCAATCGGGGAGCGTAGAACGCGCTTAAGCTCACTTAAGGTGAGGATGACCGACTATATTGCTTATAATCTCTGGGTTAATTTCATGAGATTCCCTAAATGAATATACAATGTGATTTGCATGGATTATTAATGGTTAATAATGCCTAAATGAAATTACTATTGATTATAAGTATAGTTTGCATAATATACAAATTTATTGAATAAATTGTGTATGTCTAAATGTTATGAATATGATGGCATGATAGTAGTATCAACCATAAATCCCATTTGCAATAAGTATACTTTTATTTCATGAGAAGAAGCCATGAAGGAATAAAAGTGATATTTTGATATTGAGGCCAAATTTCATATTGAATGAAGAATTACATTGAAATGAGTAAATAACTAGTATTGAAATATTAGTTGGAGTTGTAGTTGAATAATGGATGAATGGATCCTAAGAAATTGAATTGTAAAGAATCGGTGATTATTGAGCTGGGCTCTAGACCGATGTAGATAACGGTGATTATTGAGTTGGGCTCTAGACCGTAGTAGTTATCGGTGATTATTGAGCTGGGCTCTAGACCGATGTAGATAACGGTGATTATTGAGCTGGGCTCTAGACCGTAGTAGTTATCGGTGATTATTGAGCTGGGCTCTAGACCGATGTAGATGACGGTGATTATTGAGCTGGGCTCTAGACCGTAGTAGGTAACGGTGATTATTGAGCTGGGCTCTAGACCGTGGTAAGTAATGATGAATTGACACTAAACGAATAAAGTTAACCATGATACAATAACACCCTAGATTGAGGGTCTTGGAAATTGAAACTTTGATTATACTTAGTATAGTTGTCATTGTACTTGTCAAATGCTTTCAAGTACTGACCTCCCCTTCACGGGGGAGGCCACCTCACAGTTTCAGGTAGAACTTGAAGGTTGCTGCCATCGCCCGCTTGTTTCGGGAAGATCAAGGAGAGAAGACGTGGTTCGTGCTTCCTCCGTTCCTGTTTTAAAAACATTTAAATTAATGCTCATTGATATTATATTTTTGAATGATCATTTGGGGGCTTGTATGCCCATATTTGCCAAAGTGTGGCACGAACACTTGTATTAAATGTTTCCGCTGCTTTGAATGAATATTTTACATTATGTTTGTTTATGGATGTACTATGTGTGAATGATATCCCAGACGCCTTGTATAGTATGAATGTGTTGAACTGCGGTTGACTATTCGTACTGTACGGCGGGTTGTTGACGTGTCCGGATAGGTCCGGGGCGTGACAATTTAATTGGTATCAGAGCCTTAGTCCGTAAACTTCATAATGAAGCTTTAAAATCTCTTTTTGAAAACAAATTTGAAAACCATGAGCATAAAAGTTTTGTACTTATAGAACTTTTGGTACTTGAGTTGCATAGTCTCTAATTGTTAAGATGGTACCCTTAACAATTGGTATGACAGTGATTTGGGCCAAAGGATGTCTTTAAGTACCTATCCGTCACTTGACATTGATACGAGTCTAATGACTCATTCTACTTCCTTTCAGAAATGGAGCCAGTCGGAAGGATCACTAGGAGGAACCCGACGGGCCGTGTACCGGGTGGATCCGAGCGCGGTAGCCGGGGGTCCTCTAGGGGATCAAGGGGAAGGGGCCGTGGAGGCCAACGACAAACCGTAAGCGATGGCCACGTCGACACGGAAAGTGAGACCTATTGGTCTTATGAGGATTCAACCTACTGGCCAGAAACGGAGCCGGTTGAGACCCCTTATGAAGGGGATGATGATGATGTGAGTGACAAGGAGGAAAATGGCTCCTTGGCCAGGATTGAAGCGCTGCTCCAACAATACCACCGGGAGCGCGAGGAAAGAAGGGAACGCTGAAGGCGCCGTGCGGGGCAACCTTCGGGCGGGGCTCCAAGGGGAAGGAGTTTCTGTGATTCGAGAACCCATGTAGAAGCGCATGGGAGCCGTGGTGATGGAGGTCCAACCATAAGGATCTCCAAATACATCAAGGAGGCGAGGGACTTGGGGTGCAAACTGTTCGATGGGACGGGAGACATCTCGGTTGCCGCACAGTGGATCAAGAGGCTGAACGAGGCAGCCCTTGACATGCAACTCACCCCCGATTTCAAACTGAGAATCGCGGTGAGGTTACTTGAAGGGTTGGCATCCAAGTGGTGGGATGGAACCAAGGGCAAGTATGGCGGGACTGTTACTTGGGAGGATTTTCGGCAGGAATTCTTTTCCCAATACTACTCCGACTTAGAGGTAAACGCCAAAGTGAGGGAGTACACTCTTTTGACCCAAGGTGGTAACATGACGGTGAAAGAACTTGAGCATAAGTTCAGGGACCTTGCCGACCACATACCGGAGTATGCTTGTGATGAGAACCGAATGGTGAATCACTTTTGGGAGGTCTTGGACCTGGAGATACGTGATAGGGCGACTCAATTGCCCAACATGACTTTCAGCCAAGTGGTTGCCCAGGGGTTGAAGGGAGAGAAGCAATGGGAGGAAAGGAAGAAGAGGGCGGGACGCCGAGGAGGCGAAGAAGAGAAAATGGGAGAACCATGGCCCCCAAGGTTCCAATAAGAAGGTGAACCATGGGGGAGGAGGATCATTTAGGGCACCGGCACCGCCATCTAGGGGAAGCTCAGGCACGGGTGGACAAAACTCGGGCTCGCAAGCCCCAATGATGATTAGGTGCAGGAACTGTAACAGGAACCATGGGGGAAAGTATCGTGACCCTCCTCGGTGCTACCAATGTGGAGACACGGGGCATATTAAACCAAATTGCCCTCAACTTGGTGGGAACCGAGGGGCGGGGTCTAGCGGCGCTACCACGGCGAGTAGGAGCCGAACCGGAGCACCCCAAGCTAGTACGGGGCAAGGGGGAGCGAGCACGAGCAACGCGCCGTCCGTGAACCAAGGAAGGACTCAAGCTAGAGTCTACGCAATGACCGAGGCCGATGCTCGGGCCAACCCCGACTGCGTTGCAGGTAATCCCTTGTTCACTCTTATATTATTCATATACATGCGTATACAAACTTTAGGGAGCGTGTACGGGTCAATCGATGACATTTTCGGCTCGTTTTTGAGCGAAAAAGGGAGTGGAACACGCCCAGGGACGAACCGGCGCCGGCCCGGGCTTGAACCGGCGCCGGCCTAGCGTAAAACGAGGCCAAACGGAGCTGGCAGTAGCTTACCCGGCGCCGGCCAGGGGGGCAACCCGGCGCCGGCCCGGAAAAATTTCCCGGAGGATGGCTATCCAGTAGCTTACCCGGCGCCGGCCAGGGGGGCAACCCGGCGCCGGTCCGGGAAGAAAATCCGGCTTTTCGCTCCAGGGGATAACTGGCGCCGGTCCGGGCCATACCCGGCGCCGGTCCGGTGCAATTTTTCACTTTTCCGGTTCCAGTAGCTTACCCGGCGCCGGCCCGGTCCATACCCGGCGCCGGCCCAGAGTATTTTCACCCGAAAAACTTTCGTTAAGCCCCGTTTCGATCCGGTACGTTGACTAGTGTGTTTTACATGACTTATATATATGTAGGAACATTAAAGATCAATGGTAGAAACGCAAGAATTCTCATTGATACCGGGGCACAACGTTCATTCGTGAGTGAAGCGTTTGCCGAAAGTTTAGACGTGCCGTTGATAGAAATGACACAACCCTTGTTGGTCTCTACACCGTTAGGAGACGATGTGGAGAGGAAACACTACTATCCTTCGTGTGGAGTAGAAGTGACGAGTCAACCTTTGACTTGTGACTTCGTACCTCTGAGCATGTTAGAATTCGATGCAATTCTAGGGATGGATTGGCTCGAGAAACATCACGCTCGAGTGGATTGTTATGCCAAGGTTTTGGAAGTCGAGGATGCTGAGGGAAACACTCTACGTTTCGAGGGAGATCGGGGAGGATCTCATAGTTGCATAATATCCGTGATGAGG